GAATCTCTACTCTAGGTAAAGGAGAGAGAATACTCCAAGATATGATTGGTTAAATCTTTGCGCAGAGAAGTGGATAAGACTTGAAAGAAGAAGTCTTCAAATCTTACCAGGATAATCATATAAAAGGAATGATTCACATTAGGATATTGACAATCGGATTCCATGTTCTAATAATGTGAATAAGGAGTATTGACATAAGAGAATGATTCAATTGGTGGTCATTCCAATTTGAATAGGTTCTTTCACAACGTCTCATTTAGCTCGGATAACTGTGACTTGCTGCTAGGCGACAACTATGGTTTGTGGATGTCCTAAAAGGTTTCAATTAACCTTTAAGGAAGAATTAAATTGTGGAATTTAATTCGTATATCATCTATGAGGAGTTGAGTCAACCCACTACCTTGCTAAATAGAACCTACGGATCTGCATACCCAAATAATGTGATTAGAGGTACAAATGAGGAGACACAAGTCAATGGTTGATAATCAAATGTCAAAGTCAACGGTCAAAAGTCAACATGTTGACCAGAGCAATTGACCAAAGTCAAATAGTTCAACCGGGTCAATTAAGTAAAACTACAATTATAATTTAATAGTTAAATTATAATTAAAAGATTAATTATGGAATTAATATTGACATATAGCAATATTGTGGTGGAGTTTTAAATATGATTTAAAAGAAAATGGACAAAATAGCCCAAAAGGCTATTGGGCCCAAGGAATAAGTGGCATAAGATGACATGACCCATGGACCAAATGGAGCCCCAAATACCCACCCAATTGCCTTTTGTGTTGTTCTATATAAGTTAAGTGTTGGAGAAAACCTAGCTATTTTTTTTTTTTACTACTTTGGTTGATGAGTGATATCCTTGTATCTCATCTTCCATAAACCAAAAATTGGTCCAACCAAGAAGTAGACTAACATACATACTTCTTGATTGCCTTCTCTTCATCTCTAGGAGCATTTGGTGTGGTGAGGTAGAGGACTCCAATCTTGGAGCCTTAAGGTGAGGGAGTCAAAATCAAGAGAAACAAAAAGCCTTTCTAACAAAGGTGTTCATTCTTGAGAAATCAAGAAAAGGTCATTCTTGAGAAATCAAGAAAAGGTCATCAAAGGTAAAGGAACTATTCCCTTTTCCCTTTTTTTATTTGTGTTCAAAGAGACTAGGTTAAGATACCTGGTTTAAAATGAAAAAGATTTAGTTCAACTAGTATAAACAAAATAAATTTGCCATTTAAAATGTTTTTGTTGTATAGGTTGTGGCTAAAGTTCATTTCCTAAGCATTAGACGTATGTTTCCTTTAGAAACATGTAGAGATAAAACAGATTTAGCTAGACTATGAGCCACTAGGTTGGCTTCAAACAAAATTAATGGAAGCATTGCCCAACCTCCACAAAAGATTGGAGGAGTACTTAAATAAAAATCGAAACCTTTATGGAGTCTTTTAAAGTAATGATTTAATATGTCCAAATTCGAATGAACTTTATAGATTGAGTATACTCATAATTTTTGTATTTTATCGTGATTCAATACCCTAGAATTAACTTATTTTAAATCTTTTAAAATCTCAATCAAGGATTAAAATTTCGATAATATCGAGGATATTATTGTTTTTTCAGGTCTAGGATATTTGGGAATATATCCATACACATATCGTATAAATATCGATAATATTGGAAAATATCGATGTCAATAATTTCTCACACTTCAGCAATATTTGGCCAAAATATCACTATAATATCGATAATATCGAGATAATGAAGACAATGAAAACCCCCCTGAGGTTTCTTGTGTTTTCACAAAACCCTCTCAGGTCTCAAAAATCACATGAACACCTCCTAAGGTTTTAGTTTGTTTTCACAAAACCCCTTTTCGTTGATTGTTTGTCCAAAAATTGATGATTTCGGTTAAAAACAAAACTTATGCAAATGACAAAATCAACCTCAATGAAGTATATGCAATCTAATCTCAGAGGCCAACTTTGTCATTTGGAGAATTTTTTTTGAATAAAATCATCAATCTTTGGATGAAAATGAAAAGGAGTTTTGTGAAAAAAATTTAAAACCTCAGAGGGTGGTCTTGTAGTTTCTAAAACCTCAAGGAGTTTTGTGAAAAAGCCGAAAACCTTGTTTTTGCAAATTTCTCAAGGGAGAATATTCCCGTGTAGATTCTTTAACCTTCGAGCTTTCTTCTCTCTCTTTCTCAATGCTTGTAAAACAAATAGAAGTAAAAGACCACACCCAGGGGGTATTGGCCAAAGGCCCTCAAATACCTAAGTTAATTCAATTGGATCTTTGAGAAAAGATGCAGCAATAGCTAAACTGGACGATGTTTTCTCTCATGTGGAGAGCCGGGTGGCAGAAGCCGTGTGTGGTGGCACTTAGCTGTGTGGGAGGTGTGAGAGAGGGAGAGGTCGGTGGCTAGAGAGAGAGATAGAGAGAGGTTTTCGTGGGTTTTTAGAGCTAGGTTTAGGATTACCTCATGTGTTGAATGTGGCTATGTATTTACAGGGCTCTAGCCATCTAAGGTTTTTCAAAGAATATCTTCTTATTTGGAAGGAAGATATTCTTTCCCTTAAATGGAGAGATTGAGTCAATTAGGGATTTGATTGGGATCAAATCACTAATTGATGATAATATCTCTAAAATAAGATAATATCATAAATTGATGATATTATCTTTAATTGGTGATTATATTCCCAAATAAAAATAATATCCCTATTTTTAGTATCAATTAATTGGCCAAATAAACGGGCTGAATTATTTACCTAAGAGATATTCTTCTTGTGCATGTGGCACCTTGTGATTGGAAGCCGGATTATTTGCTTGCACAAACCTCAGGGGGTGTTAGTGTAAATAACTCAAATTTGAACATTATAGGAACTCTATGTGATACTAAGTCACTTATATATCTTACCATATAAAGTGTAAAATATTGTAGTAAATCATTATAAATAAATGATTATGGTGTGTTTAATCTTCTTTCATTAATTACTACATATTTAATATACTCGCAGTGTTTGCCAGCTCGCTATATAATCAACTTAAATAAGTTAAACTCATCAAGCAATGCATTTCCTTCCAATTTTTTTGATAAAGTAATAGATAATTGACTAAATAAACATCCTCCAAAGTTTCAAGAAAATTTTCCAATTTTTTCTTACAATTTTCTTGGTTTTTATTCAATTTTTATCAATATCGATAATTTCCCGATATTTCCATTGAAATTTTTGTGTTTTTCGACTACCGATATTTCCGAAACCATCGATATTTTATACTTTAATTTCAATTGCATACGCCTTTGAAACATAGTTTTTTGTGTTTTATTCTTTTTGTGTTGTTGTTTTCGGGTTGATTATAAAAAACAAAAAAGTCACTTTATCGGTTTTTTCGCTTTCGTCCTTGTAGTTTCAATTTTGTCATTATAGCTTTATAATTGTAGCAATTCAAGGACATGCCGTGAAACAAATTGACAAAAATAGTGATGTGTCCTTAAATGACTACAATTATGAAACTACAATAACAAAAGTGACAAAATTGAAAATTACAGGGAAAAAAATGAAAAAAATTATAAACTACTAAGACCAAAACTGACTTTTTGCCTTTGGAGTTAAAGGGCATGAAAGGACAAAAATACCCCTTATGTGAAGGGCACATAGTTATGTCGTGAAAGAAATTGACTGAAATTGTGATTTGTCCTTGAATTGTCAAGTACGAAACTACATTGATAAAATTGGCAAAATTGAAATTACACGTATGAAAGTGATAAACCCAATAAACTACGGGACCAAAATGAATTTTTGCCTTGTAAAAATATGCAGGTTATGATGGATTTATGTGAAATGGAGAGAAGCTGAGGGGGCGTTTCGTATCCTATTCAAATAGGGAACTCAAAAACTTTGATTTTTCTTTAAAACAAGGAGTCCTCAAATCTATTTTTAAGATTCAAACACTTGTTTGGTATGCAACTTAAAAATTATTTTCAAATCTTAAAATTTTGAGAACTTGTTTGGTTGAATTCTTGAAAACATTTTCTTTTCAAATTACATTTTTGTCCTTGGGTAGGGGTATTTTGGACACTTTTTGTTCATAAAGGAATTTGAAAAATTGAGTTGCACCGTTGCATGGAGCTCGTTGATGCAAGTTTGTAGACAAGTGGCAAGCTCAATTCTGACTTGAAATGAAGAAATTATGATCTATGGAAGTACAATAGCACAACCGTAATTTTTGCAAAGTGAAATTTTAAAAACCTCAGTTAGCTCTCTCTCCCCGACACACACACACACACACACACTCTCTCTCTCTCTCTCTCTCTCTCTCTCTCTCTCTCTTTCTCTCTCACGTGTGAACAATGGCCCCACTACTTCCAGCCCATTTTCCGACGTCGTCCAACCTCTGTTGCCACTGTAGCCTTCACGAAAAATACTCCTCACATCCCCCTCTACAAAACCCATAAAATATCCGACCTGATTAGCCAAAGGATAGCTCAAATTTTCAATTGGAAAAACAGCCCAAAAATTATCCTATCGGTGCCAAACTTTCTCAGTTTAGTCCAACCATCTCCGGCCACCTTAGTGTTCCACAACATTTAAGTCTTCCACAACATGTCTGGACCATTAAAGTCTTCCACAACATTTGGCCGGGGTCCCTTCATGAAAAATTTTCCCCAACCTCTCTTCTATCTCTTCTGCCAAAGATCCGGCCCCATACCTTGCCGAAAAACCCAAACTGAAGTCAGAGAAATCAAGGGTTTTCTCGTTGGAAAACCTTAAAATCCAGCCACCTTCAGTCACTTTTGGCGTTCGACTTAGGTATAAAGAAAACCTTGAACCCAAATCGACCATCATTGCAATGTTGATTCTGCTATAGAGAGAATTGGGAGAGAAAAAGACAGAGAGGAAGAGAGAGGAGAGAGGCACATTGGATTGTTAGAAAAAAAAAAAAACTGAAAAAACAGATATTTTTTATTTTTAATAATTGTGATATTTTTGAGTTGTTTTTGAGTTTGAGTTTTTAAAAATAGAGCTACTAAACATGTTTTCTTTGTTTTGGATTCAAATTCTGTCTTTGAGATTAAAAAGTTAGATTCCAGTTGAATACCAAAAAGGTGTCACACCCTTCTAAATTTGAAATTCTTAAAAAGCACGGTGATAAGTCGTTTGCAGCTAAACTGTGTCAACCCAAAACGTCACACTTCCAAGTCTCAAACCCTTCAACTCAAAGCAAACAACAAATGGCTCCAAACCCTGTATCACTCGCTCGTAAAACCCCTCTCCTAAACCGTTTCGTGGGTTATTCTCGTAGACCCTCTTTGCATTCTGGTCCTCAGTCTAGGATTGCAGCAAACCCTGTTCAGATAAGGGGCTTTAGAAGCTCTTCTTTGAGCCATTGCCACTCACATGCTCCGCATTCTCATTCTTATTGCCTGAATTCTGGCAATGGAGTCGTGTTTAAGGACTTGGGTCGTTCTGAAATAGGTTTTAGGCAACTGGGTTTTGACCGGTTTCGTCTCTCTGTCGTTTCGGATGGTGGGTCGGGTGGAACTGGTGGATATGGCGGTTCTGGTGATGGAAATTATGGTGGCAGAGGTGACGGTGGTGCCGGAGATGGTGGTCGTGGTGAAAACAATTGGTCGTTGCTCTCTTGGTAACATATGCCAACTTGAAGCTTTAATTTCCGAACTATCCTTTATTTTGGTACACTATGGCTATAGATATATATATTACACTAGAGGCCCCTGAGGAGTTAATTGAAGTGTATTCTTACACTCTCTGTCACAATAACTGAGAGCTTGTCATAATTTTGCTTTGGCCAATTGCCTTCTATACTGTCTGTCCAAAAGGACTAAAACTCTGTGTATGGCCACTTAACTGTGTTGGAATGATTGTTCCAAAATTCAGGTTGGAGATTGTTCTCACGGGAGCTTTCATTTTCCTTATTATTTTCTAGATTGAAATTGTTATTCTTTTGACTTTCGTTTTGATAGCTTTCTGCATGTTACATAAAACGTAAGCTAAACCAGTTCATATAAACTGTTAGTCTTCCATTATCTTGACATGTCTGACTGATAAGGTTTTACATTCAAGCTATGGATGTAAAGGTTTTTTACCATTGAGTGTACATCTACATCAAAACTTGAAATGCTCAAAGCTTTGGCAAACATTTATACGAATATTAGCACTTGGTCCTATGTTTAAGCCTGAGGATGGAAATAGGATTGCAAACCTTTTTCTCAATGAATCAAATTGCAAATAAAATATGTATTCAGCCTCACCAGCATGGATTTTATATTATTACAGGTATTTGGATCTTCTTGCAAAGTATCCAGTGTCAACAAAAGCTCTTACGTCTGCCTTTTTAACTCTCATTGGAGATGTGATCTGCCAGGTATAGTTCCTGTAGTTGCCATTAAGAAAAGTTATTAAATAATATCTTTCTTTCTCTGTTTTGCTATGTTATCTTCAACTTGCACTTCCAGTATGTCTATTTTAATTTGAACAGATAGTAAAAACATGAAGAATTCAGAGGAGTGTTTATTTGGTATCTTTTGGTCAAAAATTATATGTATAGAAAATGATATTAGAATGTAGAATCTACGGCCGTTGGTTTACTTCTTTGAGACCATGATACAAAATTTAAACACAATCTAAGACAGAAGGCAGATCAACTTAGACTGATTGCCACCTAACTAAAAGAAGATCTTCGAGTTCAAGCTGCACATTTATCGCTGAAGTTCTTACTGACAGCCGTTGATGTTCATCCTCTACCTTCTACTCCAGAGTAACAATTCCTGACAACTTGCTCCATGACCATACTAATACTGGACACGTTCATCTTATACCAACTTCTTTGGATGATATTTTATATTCAATACTACACAGTTCAAATATAAGGTTTTGGTCTAAAGGGAAAATTAGGAGTTAAGGGGGATAATTAAATGTCATACGGTTCCGAAAAGAAAAATCTGGTTGGATTGGTTGAGTTGGCAAATCTGACGTGATTTTAATGTTATAAAAAAGAGAATTGGAAGAATGAGGAAGATGAACCTCGAAAGTGCCAAAACCAATTCTATCTCTGTTCCAGCAATAGATTAGCTATACATCTCTGGTTTTGGTGCTTACTAGAACTCCATATCTCGATCTCAAGTAAGCTACAGAGTTTCCCTGAGGTTGAAATAACATACTATAAGTTTATTTAAATTAGTACTGGTGATCCTAAATTATTCTGGTAGTTTATCGTTTTGATAACTTGCTATTTTCTCTCGGAATATAACAATACGTGTAATTCTTTGTCCAGCTTGTGATTGATAAAGCTCCGGACCTGGACTTGAAAAGAACATTCTTGTTTACTCTGTTGGGGCTGGTGTTAGTAGGTCCGACGTTACATTTCTGGTAACCATTCAGAATTCCATTTGTAAGCCTGAAATTTGGAATTGCCATTATAGCCTTGAATTCCTTAAATTTTTCTAATATAGGATACAACACTTTGAAACACACAGTAAATGTCAACCAATGTGATTGCTATCTTTACATCGTTATGCTACAAAATATGTTGGATTTTGTAAATAAGTAATCTAATTTCATGGTAATATTTCTTTGTTTCTATGATTATGTTCTTCTTTTTCCTGTTCTGCTCTTGTAAGTTTCCATTTCATCACCTTTTGTATCTCTAGGTATTTGTATCTAAGCAAACTGGTAACAACGCCTGGAGCATCAGGTGCATTCCAGCGCCTTCTACTTGATCAGGTGACCTCAACTTGTGATTTTAGGGTTTTTATTTTTATTTTTTAAAATTTCATGACACATCATCATGTTAAGTTTTGAGTTATTGTTGCTGCAGTTTATTTTCTCTCCTATATTCATTGGAGTTTTCTTATCAACATTGATGACACTGGAGGGAAAATCTTCACAAGTTGTACCCAAGCTTCAACAGGTGGTGTTAATGGAATTATATATATCACCTTTGAAACCTAATGGAATGATTGTATTTACTTTTGTATACAAACTGTTTTTGTTAATACGATGTATCTACTTTTGTAGGAGTGGTTTTCTGCTGTTCTCGCTAATTGGCAACTGTGGATACCTTTCCAGTTTCTTAACTTTCGGTTTGTCCCACAGCAATTCCAGGTTAGAATGGTATAAATGAAGCTATACATTTTTTACGGCTCCTAGACAGGATATGTGTGGGACATTGTGAAGTTGCAGACTGAAGATTGCCTCACTGCCTGCCTCCTGACATATAAGACGTCTGTGAGGAGCCAAGAGTCTCTCCTCAACGCATGGGCTTCTCAATGTCATAGTGGGGATTGTCCCTCTGCCTCTAGATGTATTACAGTTAGAAAAGATTTTAGAAGTTTAGTTAGTATTAATTCCTTGTTAGAAGTTATACATGTAAACTTTGTGTTTACTTAATTTCCATTCAGCCTAGACTGAGCATGCCAATTTAATTTGTGGTTGATAGAATTCTACTTGAGAGGAACATAAACAAAATTAAATTTTATAATAGAACTTCTTTAGGATTCAAAAACTGGACTGGAAAATACTGAAAATGGATGGTATGCTGTGATCAGAATGTATATACAGTTTTCAGGAAAATGGATGGGATTCCTGATGTAGAACCAGTAAGGAGATGCAGAGAGATAGGAAATTATAGGAGTGGATAGAGAATCAGAGAGGAAACAGAGATGACGAAGAGAAATTTAGAAGAGCATAGAAGGAGATAGGCAGAAAGAGACTTGTAGAAGAAAGAGGGGAAAGATATAGAAACTTATTCAAGAAGGATAAGTTTATTCAGTAACAAAGTCTTTCCTACTCAACTACAAAGGAGGTATCGAAAAGGACCTAATGTTGCTAGAAACAGGAAAGCAAACCTAATCTTACTAGAAACAGGAAACCAGAATAAGCCTAGATTAAATATCCCTAGTCCATTCTGTGTTATACCAAGATAGTGGTCAAGGCCTCATGTTGTCCATGGAAGATATTTCCCCAGGCTTCAATGTTTTTTCCTTCTCTCTGTTGCTTTGTGGTGAGAATCGGGTAGGGGGGGGGAGGTTTTAGGAAGAAATTTGGGTTGGGGAAACACCTGTGTTAGTCTCGTTTCCTTAACTATATATACTTGCAACCTCTCCTAACATTTCCACAACTAGAATGTGTGACATTGATATTTTCCTTTGTTGAAATTTAAATGACTCTAAAGTTGGGGAGCTTTCTTCATTACTTTGTTGGAAAATGTTTATATCCATCTAGACTGATAGAAGAAGCTGGATTTGGAGTCTTCTGAGATTCCTTATAAATCTTTTGCAAGAGGATTGGCGACCCACCTATTTCTTGCTTCCATTCTTGTCCCATGATTTCGAAGGATACAGTTCATATCTTAGATGAATGCTCATGGGAGGGTCAACACTAGTGCTATGGTTGAAAGGAGAAAGCCTAAAATGTTTCTCTTTCTCCCCGTTGGTATATTATGTGTAAAGGAGAGGCTCGAAGTGTTAATAATTTGCTTCTTCATTGTCCAGTTGCTTTAAATTTATGGTGGGGACTACATTGAGAAGCTGGTTAGAGCTGGGTGGTTCCAGCATCTTGTTTAGCACAATTTTGTAAGAAGCACTTGGAATTTAGGGAGGGAAGAACTGTATATACAGGTTTCATTGGTAGCATTTTAAATGTCTTCTTGCCAGCTTTAGCTTCTGTGTCAGTGGACTTCTTGTCCTCTACAACTTTTTGTACTTTCAGCTTGTAGTCATCTGGTCTTGATTAAATTATGTTTCTTATTATAAAGAATTACTGGAGTCGGAGTAACAAACTATGAAACCAATATATTATGATTTTGCATTATGTTCTAATTAACGATGTCGAAGAATGTTGCTAGTCTGGTACAAAACAAGATTTGACAGAATATATATTGTAATTTATCACTGTTGATTTTTAGTATCACTTGTTTTTTCTGTTGTGTATAGACACTGTTGCCTAGCTAATGTTGTTTTTTGTGACTGCTTATTATGACCTTTTCCTGCACAATTGTACTTTTCTATATAACTTAGCATTTATGGGTGATGAATGAACCAAATAAAGAAAATTACTTGATGATTTTACGGGTTATCAGCTACAAAACATAACCTTTCGTTCATTCATTGCATAATCATTACATGATAGCGCCTGGTCATATATAGGACAACGGTACAAAAATAGGAAAATGCAAATACGTAAAGGAGAAGGAAAAATCACATAACCAATTGCGGAAATCTAGCAAGAGAATGGTATGAGGCAGCAAATTTAGAATCCTTTAGAGTTATCTTAATAACTGACATCAGAAAATTCCAAACAACGAAGATATGGCCCAAAGCTCCAGCCCATTATCCATCTCATGATTATATCTTGTGGCCTAGTGTGATGAGTATCTCATCAATCCCTCTCTTGAAATCCGGCCTGCCCCATGCCAAAATATAGAAAAACATGCTCTACTCACATCCTCAACTGACATGTGATGCAAATGCTTTTATCTTGTCAAGTCCACAGCCTGGGATCTTCTATGGTAGCCATTGAGTCATTCCTGTATCTTAAATTGGAGGTAGAACCACAGAGACATTTGTGGTCACCTGTACTCTCTTCTTAAGCAGAGAAACATGAAAATGGGATGCTGCTTTGCTTGAGGAGCCAACTTAAGCTTGTTAGTCTTTTAGACAATCGGAAGGGTCCCTAAAGCTAGTTTGTGGTAGTGGAGATGACTTCAAGAGTGTTGCTGATAGGGCTAAAGATGCAGATATACCCAACCACCAATTTCAAATGACTGTAAAGTGGGATTTTTATGATTATACACTTCAATGCACTTGGTTAGCTTGCAAGATGGTTCACAATAAGAGAATGGTTTGGTCTCTGTAAATTCTTGATTATTTGAACAAAGTTATTTAGGATTGAACATCCAAAGAAAAATTTCTTAAGCTTGTGACTGTGATTGCTAATCTTTATTCAGGTGTAGAAACCCCATTTATTCTAATACTATGTTAAGGTGAACAAAATAGAAAAGCTCATTATCAAACAGAAAACAGAAAAAATCATTCCTTTTCTGTTTAATATCCAGTCTCTGATAGTATGTGTAATTCGGAGCATTAGATTGACTGCCTTATGGAATGAGTGGCTGAAGATGGGATCTCTCCATCCTTTTATCCATTATATGAATTTCATCATAGAATTGACTTTAATTGGGTATGAAGGGATGGCTCCCAAATGGTTGTGCGTGATGGTTGAGATGGTTTAGTTGGTATATAATGATACAAATCATCCCAAACTAAATGTAGCAGACCCCATGCATATACTTGTATTTTATCTTATGTGGTGTGTGTGTGTGTGTGTGCGTGGGTGGGTGGTTGGGTGGTTGGGTTGGGGGGTTCCAAAAGCCCATCTAAGTGATGATATTTATATGCTTATAGGCACAAAGTAGTCGTGTTCAAGAAATAGTTGCTTCTAGATTTCTGGCTACAGAAAGGTGGGTGATATTATCAAATCCGCAACATGATCTATGAGTCATTCTATTCTCTGTTGAAAATCCAAATCTAGTTATGTTTATTCAACCAAAAAATAAAAGTAATGTTTATGGGTTTCATTTTCTAAGCTGGCTTCTTTTTCATTTTTCATTTTTTTTTTGTTGTCAATTGATGGTAATTTTATTCTTAGTGTTTGGTTTTACCGTATATTATCTAACTTCCAATTTCATTCATGGAATCCTTTTGTTTTATTTCGCTTTACATTATGTTGATTTTTGTGTTTTCAGGTCCTTGCTGCTAATTCCATTGCTTTGATATGGAATGTTATCCTCTCGTTTAAAGCTCACAAAGAGGTTCTTCAAAAATAGGTATGTTAAAACCAGAAGTTGTTGGTTGATGAATTTGTGTTGAGACAAGAAATTACTCTTATTGCCCTCCATGTCATAATGGCTAATTGCTCTTATCACGATTTCTTTGGAATCTACCCTAATTGTCATGCATTAGTAAGGGAGAAATTGAACATATATGAGCTAATAAAACAAAACCCATTTACAGCATCTTGGTTGGCCACAACTCCAGAGCCTGATTTTATGGTCTGGTAACATAATATTTCATAGCTTTGGTCTTATTTGTATATAATGGTAGCTAGGCTTGCGCCCCAAGTCTTGTAGTCTTTGCTTTGATTTTTGACACATCTCCATAATCATAGACCAGTAATATGAAATATCAATGTTTTGTAACATAAATATCAATGTTCTGTTGGAAATGAACTTGAAAACAATGGGAAGATCATCGTATCCCATTACATCAAATGGCCGAAGACATTGGGCTAACTATATAGTTAGAAATCCTGTATGTAGTACCAGGTAATGTGGTTACACAGACGTAGGTCCAGCTTTAAAAACTGATCCATCCTCATGGTGGACTTGTTTGTTATTTTAGTGAATAAAAGGTACTTGCAGAAAGCACTTTGATGCTGAATTTAGTGTTTGCAGGTAGAAGTTCTAGAGTTAAGGGTTCAGTATAGTACATCTGAAGTTTGTTTTTCAATCTTTATGCAGATGCTTGAAATAAGAATTTCTTGACCTCCACTTTCCCAGGATTTCATTTCTAAGGTTAGGGCATTTTTATGATGGTTTTGGTCATGTCTGCATGCAAATTTGGTGATGTTTGTTTAACCTAACCATTCCCGATGTGGATGAACATTTCATTATCTTGTTCTATGTTTTGTATGTTCATAGTTCGGTTTGTACTGGTCCATTTTTGTTCATTCTTTAGTCTTTTCTTGCGTCAATTTGCTAATTCTGACAACAGCTTGCATTTTGTAGTGGTGATTTCATTCCTACAGAAATGTATTAAACTTTGGAAATAACAACTTATTCATTAGAAATTGGCATAGAAATATCCCCCTCAACAGTAGCCTAGTTGGCCTCCGACAGGTTATAGAGCCGATAAAGAGTGGGCCCTTGCTATATCCCTTTGATTTTGTATGAGAAACAATAGATAAGACGAGATCCAAGAAAGTGAAGGATGTGCCCCTTGGTTCGTGAATGGACTACCTACCTGAACTACATTTAAAAGCTTAAATCATCATTGACATCTGAAAATATATAACCCGACGTATGAATATATTACAAATATATAATTGTTAATGGTTTCTAGCACGTAAACTCAAGTTATACAATTGTTGAAACATCTTTTAAACTGGACAGGGTCATTAGTCAACTAGCTCACAGACGAAATCTTAAAAACAAAACAAAACAAATAAAAATAAAAATAAAAATAAAAAACTAGAGCGACCAATGCTTAACCATGTGAATTTTGTCATGTGTAGAAGTTGCAACTATTATCTTGCTGTTTCATGCTAACCATTGCTTATGTATATTGCTCAAGGTATGAATGAATGTGACAGCAGCAAATGGAGCCTACGCTGGTTCAAGGATCTACGATGAGTTCCTGCTTCTTATCTGGAGAAATGTATTGTGTTTAGATGTGACACAGCTTTGAACTATTCTTCTTTTTCTGTGTTTTGCGCATTGGTTGCCTTATTGTTTTGGTTTACCGTTGTCTGTTCTCGTTTTCTTGTATTTAGCTTCTATGCAGGTGTAATATCAATGGCCAAGTTTACTATGCTTTTCTGCTACACTGAACAAGAAGATTTTTGTAGAGGTTGATGATTTTCTATGCATTGGTCTTGGACTCTTGTGTAGTTGTGGCAAAATGTGAAAGCTAAATAACCCACCCCAACAATTTTCAGTTTATTTTTGGAAAAACAAAAAACAAGAAATTTATATATTATTGGTGTCCACTTTCCAGGTTGGGATATCTGGCCTGAATGATTATTAGTCAATATATATTGTGTTAGTGAGTGATTTTCATAGAGTTGACAAATTCTTAAATACTATTTATCAAAAATAGCCAAAACTTGACCCCTTTAATTTCAAAAATGTCAATTTTTGTAAAATATTTCAAATATAGCCAAAAACTCTCCTAAATAGATACAAATGCCCCCAAATTTAAAACCTGCATGAACTTGAAAAAGAAACTTTATTAAATAAAATTTTGGAATATTTTTAACCCACGTTTGTATAGAAGAACAGAAATTGATTTCTATCATCCTATTTATTGATAAATGAATAATTTTTTTCTCAAAGGGTGATGCCATAGATTACGTACAATGTGTATAAGAGAACACACTTGCATCAAAAGTAACCCAAGTAAACTAAAAGTACCAATCCTGCCAGAGGCGGAGGTACTCTAGGGCTTGAGGTGGCCCTGGCCCCTCGACAACTTGCTCTTAATACAGTAAAGTTTGGGTTTTTGTTCATATATTTAACAATGCAAACCCATACTATAACAACCATATATATAATACAAATTTATATATAATCATTCTAATGGCCCCCAATTGCAATCCATAATAACTTCATTTATAATTATATGTAAAATGTTTGTGGGCCTATTACATAACTGACATAAAAAAGGAAGTATTAATCCTCCAATAACCAAACTGATGAGACAAGGGAATAGAAAATAGTTTGACAAAAAGAAGGGAAATGAGATTTTATTAGTATAATTTTCTGTTTTGATACATGAAATTGAGTACAAAGTTCTAAAAAATGTGCATTTTTTCTTCTATATATATTATTGATGTAAGATTGATTTTTTTTTTCTTTTCTATACTTGTATTATGGTTCGACCACCCCACACATACAATTATGGCATTATCCAGCACAACATCAATAAAATAACTAATACTTAATATACAAATTTATAAATAAACCCAATCCTAGACATGTATTTATAAAAAAACCCAAGCACTATTTAAACATAGAAACACACCCAAAATCAACCCTAAAGTCAACTTTTTGGGTGTGTTTATAAATGGGTTTTGAGTGTGTATAATGATGGGTTTTGGGTGTGTTTATATGTTTAAATAGTGTTTGGGTTTTTTTATAATTTCAACTCCCATTTTGGGTGTTTTAGTGAAACTCCCTACGTAATAATCTGCAATCTGTAATATGCAGCATACCAAATCTAGCCTTCCACACAATATAAAAAATTTGGATAAATTTGGAATTACAAAGAGATTAGAATGCTAAAGTAAAAAATGAATGGTGAAGCAAGTAAGAAACAACAATATTATCAAGTATCTTGCATTTTTTTTAACCACCAAACAAAACTAAAGCAGGTTAATAAAATAGGGATCCCATGATAAGTTCCAGAATGCTGCTCCTAGAAAATTACATACTAAAATACAAATTAAATATAAACGGGAAGTTAGAAGTTAGGCAAGGAAGTTTAAAGTGCAGTATTATACAGACAGAGGAAACTTTTATCTTGATGTGAATGAAAAAAGTTTGGCTTATGTTTCTTATGCTTCACAATTCAAATTCACAGTATAAAATTTTCTGTTTAAATCACCAACAAAAAAATGTTGTTTTTCAATGGTTTTTGGATGTATGCCCTATATGTAATATAATTTAGTATGAAGATTAAACGAAGAAGAAACTAAATGAAGAATCAAGGAAGAACTGCACTCACTGTTTGACTAAGGTAGCAATACGTCTACAAATGTACATATAAAGATTCCCAATCTAATAGGGTTTTCTTTTTTAGGTTTATGTGGATTTTAAATTTAAGGGCATTTGTGTCTATTTAGGTGAGTTTTTTGCTATATTTGAAGTATTTTACAAAAACTGACATTTTTGAAATTCGAGGTCAAGTTTTGGCTATTTTTGATAAATTCTCGTTAATAGTTAGCCTTAAAAGTATGCAAAAGTCATTCATTTAATAAGAGTTTTAAAAGTCATTAAGTTTTTGGACACCACCAAACTTTTACAGTGCATTTGAATGAGAGAAATTAACTTGGAATTTTGACAAAAGTTAGAATTTCTAAATTGACCTGAACCAATTCCCATGTTTGGATTAAAAAAAAATAGAAATTTAAAAATTCCACATGGGAAAAAATATGGAATTTAAAAATAGAAATTTAAATTCTATCTAAAAAGTCGTCATTTTTAAAATTCCAAGACAAATTGAGTTCAAAAATATAAAAACTTTACAAATAAAGGTTAAATTCCATATTTAAATTCCTTACCCAAACATGAAACTTTACAAATTCTAATAACATTAATTTCCATCATTTATGAATTCCTTTGTACCTTTAAATTTCCTCATCCAAATGCATTAAAGACTTTTAAAAGTCACAACTAGATATCACCAAATTTTTAAATACTTTTTAAAAGTCACAATTGAATACCACTAAACTTTTAAATACTATTTAGAGCATCTACAATGATACTCTCTATTTCTTAGCTAAAATTTAGCTAAAAATATAAGAAAGCTATTTTAGGAGCTCTCTAAAAAATTTCAACTCCAACCATACTCTCTAATTTGGAGAGTCATAAATGCTATAACTCTTTTTTGATTGGTCCATCTCTATTAAAAAATAAAATAAAAAATAGTTAGCATTAAATAAATATTTGAAATACTCATTAAATAAAGCATAATTAAATTATAGGGAGTCATTAAGAGTCATTTCTCTCTCCTCAAATTTAGGATCTCCTAGAGGACTTCCTATTTTAGGAGGTGGATATGGAGCATGGTTGGAGTTGCATTTTTACGATTCCTCCCTAAAATTTGTCTAAGGAGGTGGTTTAGGGAGCCAATTGTAGATGCTCTTAAAAGTCACAGTTGAATACCTCCAGACTTTTTAACCCCTATAAAAGTCTTTAAAATTTAGAATTGGATACAGCCCCCTTAAGAGGTTCCAAATACTTTTACTTGGTATATATAAATGATTGATGATTCTACAATTTATATAAAGGATTATTTATTGATATGCCCCATGTGCTTTGCTTATAGTCTCACTCCCTCCCCCCACCCCCCTATACTTGCATTTCATGTCGTTTAGGCATCACAACATGAATTGATGAATATATTTGAGTAAAACCAAGGTTTTAGGACACTACAAGTATGAGTAGATTCTGAAATTTGAAGGTTTGAAGATAACAGAATTTGGAACAACTTTCATGAAGGAATCATAACCATCTGAGCACTATAAATTAACGAAAAATGTTGCAACCGAGCTTACTGAAACTCACCAGCCGTGGATGAACACAAAAATGTCAGAACATGTTTGAGGTACCTAGAGTGATTGGATGATGCTGATTTTTGGACATGGTACAATACTCGAGCAAATGTACAACTTTGATGAATGAAATTTTATGATTCGAGCTTTGGAAATTTGACTTCTGGGATGATGAACAGTACCCTAGAGTTTGGGTTTTGAAGAAGAAATAAGAATAAGAAGAATGAGGAAGATATTGGGAAAATAGAGCATCTCCAAAGGAGATGTAAATTTCCAAGTGGATATGAAATGCAAAATTTTAATATTAAAGTTTCTCCAACTGAGTTGTCAAATTCTATATGGATTTGAAGGCAGGGAGAGATGTCAAAAATAACATATCAAAAAGCTTGATGTCAAGTGTTATTTTAATGACTTCTGGGATTATGAACTCCACTATCATTTACTGAGTACTCTCTTTTAATACTTTATGCATCACATAGGTCCCATGTGTTTTGAAAAATACAATAAAATGATATGACATTTGACATTTGACATTTGTAGGGGTCTTTTTGTTCCAATAGCCAGACGAATGGGCTTGGGCTGCTGTAAGAGAAAGACAAACAAAAATCCCCCTGTGCCTGAGTTCAAGAACTAGGCTCTTTCTGAAAAGTTTGTTGAAACCTTAGAAAACTCTTTGGGCTCTTTTCACAAATAACCAGATAAACATGACAAATTAATAAGTGGCTTGGCTTGAGAAGCTTATGGCATGAGAGCTAAGCCTTCACAAATTTAGCCATAAAGAGAAAGAGCATGAGTTTTTAAATAAAATTAAGGCCTGAAGTAAAGGAGAAAAGGCTTTTGGGGAGATTTTGACTAAGGAAGAACAAAGAAGATCGGAGTAGAGGGGAGGATTTCTTGAAAGAACTTCTAGTTTGGTCGACAAAAGCTTGGTCGTGCTCTGGATGATTGTGTTTTTTACTGGGTAGAAGTGGCCTCCTTTTATAGGCACTTTAGACTTCTATTTTATCAAAACTCCCTCCCTCTTTTCTTAGTCTTCTTCCCTTTAATCCTATTTGGTGAAAACTTCCTTAGTCTGAACCCATAAACCTGAAGCTCTTGGGGTTCCAAGGTTCTTACGCTGCTGGACCTCTTCATGTGGGTAAGGCGCCACCCACTTTTTTCTTTGGTTTTCCTGCTAAAGATGGAGGAAGAAAGAAACAAGGGTAGGAGCATTAATCCAATGGGTATTCAATTTGTCTTGTGAATTTCCTTTGGTCCTTTGCAGTGGCTCTTGTTTGACTTGTTCTAATAGCTAGATGCAATGCTAGATTTGTATAAGATGCTGGGCTGGGCCTTTTCCTAAGGTACTGGATCACAGGCTTCCTATTTTCAGCATCCATCTAAGCCTTTTGAGGTTTCATCAAGCTGCTGGAAGTGGCTTTTGACGAGGCCCTTGGTAGGGGCTTTTCCTAAGTGTTGTAGATCTTTATATATTTTTTTCCTAAGGCATTGGACCACCTTCTCTCTTCATGGCTTGCCCATGTGCTCGGGCCCAAGAGATGGGCTTGAGTTTTGGATGCTCCCAAGTAGCCAAAAACTTCCATCTCTTGAATTCTTAATAGGTTTTGTGAAGACTCATGTCTATCCATACCACAACCTTCATAGAAAGCCCCAGGTTTCTTGTTTTACGGGCTTTGGCCCACGTGTAGCCTGGCTTGGAGTTAGGATAGCAGTCTTTTGGCTTGGCGTTGTGTGTTTATTTGACATATTCATGCTTGAATTCTTATTGTGCTATAATTGGCTATGACCGAACTAAATTGCACCTAACAGGTTGATGTGTGTGGGCTTCTCTTTTGGCAAAGCATCATGTTGGGCTAGGATTAAGCTTAGGCCTAGCCTAGGATTTTTTTTGGGCCTCAACAACATTTTCGGTGGAGTTAAATTTTTTCCTAAGTGTCAAATTGTCACATAAGTCATCAAATTTAAATTTAACATCTACCTTGGAGATGTTAAATGCAAAATGTTAAATTGAATTTGATGACTTATGTGACAATTTGACACTTTGGAAAAAATTAAACTTCACCTGAAATGCCGAATACCATACTATTTATTATACTTTTAAAAGAAAATGGGACTCATATAATGCATAAAGTTTGAAAAGAGAGTAAATGATAGTGGGGTCCATGACTAAATTTTAAAAAAAAATAGTATTTGACATCAAGCTTTTTGATATATTATTTTGGACATATCTCTTCCAGTTTTTAAATCCATATCGGATTTGACTATTCAGTTGGAGTAGGTTTAACTTTCAATTTTTGCCATGTCATGTCCAATACTAGAAAATGCCCTTGGTTAATGCAAACATTAAAAATTTAAAATATTAATCAAATGAGGATAATATGGTGAATTCACACTTTTTCATATTAATTTATTTATATAAAAAAAATCAGATAATAAATCCTATTTTTATGGAATACAACTACCCATTATCTTTTTTAATTCTAAAATAAATAAATAAATAAATTTTTTAATTAAAAAAAAAGCCTATTGTAGGCCCCAGAGGGAGGCTAGTATATAAATAAACTTAAAAGTGAAACATTCAAAAACTTTGAAAATACCCATGGTTAACAAACACCCAATCTCATATAATGAGGATATAATTGTAAAAAATAAATTTGCTAAATTACAAAATTAAAAAACAAATTCCACTTAAGTAATTAAGGGGAAAGTGGTTAGTGCCCACTCCACCTCATTCATCTGTCTCCGCTACACCGACATTCCTCTATTTTTTGTTTTTAATTTTTTTTTTTTTAATAATCTTTTTATATGTGAAAATTGTCCTTTATAAAAAAATAAAAATAAAAATCAATGGGTAGGTGTCTAAAGTAATTTCAATTTATTGGGCCTCCATTTCTAATTCAGCCCAAAACCCGCTCAACTCAAAACTCCTCAAGTTCCCGAAAATTTGAAAACCAGTCCGCGCTAATACGCGAAACCTATCTCGACCGTCCATTCCCAAACAGCCAAATCTCTCTCTCTCTCTCCTCCCCTCTGTAACTCAGTGAATCGAAATCCATGGTTGAAGTGTGAAAATGCCGACGACAGAGAAGCTGTTGGTGCAAATCTTCGAGAGGAAGAAATGGATCGTCAACCAAGCCAAACACCAGGCCTACCTCTTCGAGCAACACCTCACCTCCAAATGCCTTATTGACGGAATTGCCCCTCCTCCATGGCTTTTGTCCTCCTCCTTTGACCCCAATCATGGTGCGTACTACTTTCCCCACCTTCAATTCTATCAGTTCAACGCAATCATACAATTTTTTCTTACTATGTTTTACCAAACAATGCTTGAGAGTGATCTTCCATTTTCATAATTTCTCTACAACTCTTGCCATTTTCACTTCGAATTGCGTGGTTTTGGAAGGCATCGTTTTAATAACATTGTTAATTGTGTTTCTTTGGACTGAAATAGTTTCTGTGTTGTTTTGATTTTAGTAGCAATTAAGTTTTTAGATGATGAAAAAAATGATCCCTGGGTTTTTAATATTGCATTATGTATTAGTATAATTCGAACCGTCAACGATTTATTAATTCTCTGCTTGGTTTCCAAGAAAGTTCGTAATTCGGGATATTATTTGTAATTTGAACGATACATCAACTGGTCATGACAAGTATCTCAGAATGGCTTCAGTGAATAGGGGATTTCAGTTCCACGGCCTGAGCTAACACACACACATCTGTACTGTATGTAGTATATATTTTTTGCTGTATGTATGCAATGTCCTTGCCCTTATGTTATGCCTATGGATTAATTAAGAATCTTTTGATTTGTTCATTACAGTATTGAACAAACCAGAGCTGATTTTAGGATTTCCACTCCCTCGCACACAGCCCGTGATCCATTTTACCGGTAGCCATTGCCCCGTGTTTGACAAGCCAGTTCCTACAGCTCACAGTGGGGAGCTACCAAATGGTTTGTGCACTGAACGTCATGGTTTTGACAGAGGTTTCAGTGCAGGAGAGGAGGTTTTGATTTTGCCACACTGCCCTGTAAGTAATGCTGGGTGTGCCTCCAATGGCGTTCCTCAAGACCAGAGAGAAGAGGATCCTAGTGTTACATCTCCAGAAGATCAGAAGGATGCAAGGATCTCAGACATTTACCACAACCCAGCTCTATCACTGGCTAGATGTGCAGGAGATGAGGTATCTATTTTGCCACAGTGCCCCATTAGTAACGCTCGTTGTTCCTCTGATTGTGTTCCTCAAGATCAGAGAGAAGAGGATCCGAGTGTTACGTCTCCAGAATATCATAGGGCTGCAAGATTGTCAGACATTTACCCTTACCCAGCTCTATCACCAGCTAGAGGTGCAGGAGATGAGGTTACAATTTTGCCACAGTGCCCCATTAGTAATGCAGGAGCTTCCTCCAAAGGTGTTCCTCAAGATCAGAGAGAAGAGGATCCAAGTGCTATTTTTCCTGAATATCAGGGGAATGCAAAAACCTCGAACATTTATCATGACCCAGATCTATCACTGGCTAGAGTTCAAAGATCCAAGTCCAGGCAAAGAGCTCTCGCAATTCGCAACAGTGCCAATAAAAGCAGTTCACAGGTTAAGAACAACGTTAATGGTTGTGCTGGTGGGATTATTGGGTGTGCGATATCTTTCCTACAAACTGAGCATGTTGATGAAATAAACTTAGTCAAGCCTCCTGATACATGTGATAATCTAGAGTTAAGTGCAGTAAATGGGGAAAAACATTCAAGTAAGGAGAATTCTTCTGTGGAGTTTGTCTCCAGAAGTACTGGGTCACAAGTTGTGCGTAGTGTTGAAAGAACAGCAAAAGGTTCCAGCTCCTACATGTCTGGTCAAAGAATTGTAGCAAAAGATGCCAGCAGCAACATATCGGGTCAAAGAATAAACCAGTCAATGTCTGCCGCATCGAACAAGTCTCATGATGCCCAGAGAACTCAAATATCTGCTGGAACGTCTATTCCAATTCAAAGGGATCTAGAACTATGTGCAGTGAATTCAACAGATTCTTCAGACAAGTGTGGGGCAGAGGACAATTCCCAGGTTTTGGATCACAGGGGTACACAGTCCAGATCTGCTGCTTCAAACAAGGATTTGCCAGAAAATCTGACTCATGGGGTTGCAGGAATCAGGCATCTGGATATGTCCAGTACTATGGTACAAGAGGTACCTTGTACACAAACCTGTGAATTTGTTGAAGTTGCAAGTGTTGGAGAAACTGAAATTGATCCTGATGGATGTATTGAAGCTAATCCTATTCGTTCTGGATCTACCTTGGATGGTAATGGGCTTAGAAGTGGAGGGGAAGTTTTACACTCAAGGCAGCCTGCTGATTGTGCTTTTGTGAATCCCAAGCAACTTAATTTTGATGACGTGGAAGAGTCCTGTTTGAATGGAATTTGTACTCCTGCTCTTAAGAAGGGAATGCAGGGAAGGTCATCAGAAAAAAGTTCTCTTTCCTTGATGCATGCTGAAAACATAATGGCTGAAGGAATAACTGTCAATTACCAAGACAATTGTAACACACCACTGGAGATGAGTTTTCTGGGGGGTCGGGAAGTTTCCGTCAGAGGAAAGGAGCTCCAGAGTAGTTTATCTGAAGCCCCTGAAGGGCAGTTGCATAAAACTGGAAGTGCCTCGAATGAAAATGCTGCCTCATCAGTAAAAGAGACATCCAATGCTCATAAGGATGGAGCTGCCAATACTTTGCTAGAAAGTGGCAAAGTTCAGAAATCCTTTTTGACAGATAATCCAATGGGCTTGCAAGTAGCCTGGGAAAGTTTGGTTGAAAGCCTGTCTAATGTTAATGCTGCAAAACCAACTGAATTGGTCACAGAAGAGAGTGCACTGTATTCTCATGCCGTTAGTAATCCTACAGTATCAACGGATTCTGATTTTACTATGGTGTCCGAACCTGGTTCTTTCAGAATCCCGGATGCAAAGAATCTTGCAGTTGAGAATCCTTGTGCTGCTTCCTTGGATGAGATGAAGGGTAACTTGCCTCAGCCGATTATACATTCACACATTTCTCCAAACTATGAACTGTGGAGTATTGGTGATAAGGGAGATGTAGGTTATACCAAATCAACTGAATGCCAGATTGCAGAGAAATCCAAAGGAAGAAGTTTTAGCTCTTCTATGCAGGGTTCATGGCCTCAGCATAAACGAAGAAAGATTGAGCACACAATAGTTGATGATCTGTCTTCTTCACGGGACTTGATAGAAAAGGTTTTTCACACCATCAATAGAGATTCTATTTGTGGAAACTTGGGAAATGTAGAGCATAGTCCGAATGCCGTACTAGAATCTCAGGGCCTTTCAATTTCTCAGGAGGATGTTGTGAATTCAGTTGTCAGTGGAATTCCAGTTGAAGAAACACATCAAAATGAGGATCACCACATGATAGAGAGGTCTGAATCTTCACCTAAGGCACATATGAAAGAGGTACTCAATTTTCTGTTGTGCATTGCTCTCTCTCTCTCTCTCTCTCTCTCTGAGCTAAGCTACTTCCCTTATATTGTTACTATCCTATTTAGTAGTCTTGTTTTATTTGGGAATTCTGTTTACTTGTTCTCTTATACAGGTTGCTTGTCTGCTACTATATAATATGTTCTAATGCATAAGATTGTGTTTCACAGGGTGAAATCAGCGTGGGAGGGGGGGACAGAAGTGGGAATGCACCGTTCACTTTTATGCATGAAGAATTGGAAGCATCACTTCTCTCAAGTTTGATGAAGCAGGATGCTGGCCCGTCTCAAGATTGTTTTATGGAGGAAACAGGAGTAGTACATCCAACTAGCATTATTGTTGATACAGGAAGTCCATGCATAGAAGGGAACCATGTTTCTCTTCCTCTTGAGGATAATCCTACACTGGGAAATGTTGACAATTGGACTTGCGCTGGAAGAGCCATGCAGGAAAAGAGATTTGATCTTGGAGGGACCAGAAATTTTTCATATTTTTCAGTTGGTTCTCCACGTGGCCAATCCTTGGATTTGATTGGTGGTGATGATACGAAGCCTGAGCTTGAGGGGTTCATTTTAGAAACAGATGACGAACCAACAAGCATTGCTCGAGAGGATATTAACTTTGATGAGTGGAACCTTCCAAGCACTACATTTGAACGTGCCAGCATTTTGGAGCAGCTTTGCAAATCTGTTTGCATGCAAACTCCAATGGCATGCTTTTCAGCTTCAAATAAGTCGCACAAAATTCCAAATCTCTATCAGTCTGTTCCAACTGGGCTTCTAGAGGGTGGTGTGGATATGAGGACCACCTTGCCAATGAATGATGCCGTCAAGCCGTTAAAGGATGGTCATAGTTGCTTGAGTGAGGAAGTTGGCCAGGCGTTTAATGGAAGGTCCTATTCTGATTGCCTACCAAATCGTAGTGGTCAATCTGGTTGGGACATTAAGAAACCTTACATATCGCCAGTTGGGAAACTCTGGGATAGAACTGGTTCAAGCACTAGCAGTTCGGGGAAGCGAGGGAGCTTAAATCCAGAACTTCCCTGCATTAGTGAAGAAAATGAGAATATAGATGAGGTATCTGCTACTTCCCGAGGTGGCATTGTTTCAGAAGTATTAAATAGCTCAATACAAAGAGTACCACTTGCTGACATTACTGAAATTCCAAACCCTCCTGCATCAGTTTCGAAAGCTGAACCGCATGAGACTTAGTCTAGACTCAGTCAACGCTGAATTCAGCTTAACGGGGACTAGTAAGAGCTTCAAACTGAAGCATGGAATCCAAAACAGCATCAAGAGAAGATATAACAACAAGGAGAACCTGAGCATATCACGAGGAACAAATGATATTAAGAGGACCACTGGACCACTTCGTAAACCAAAATTATCTGGAAAAACCAGCTTGAGAAAAGGTGGTCCAAGTTTGTCAGAGTGGGAGCCTAAGCGTAACAATATTGTGTCCAGTATGACTTCCTTCATTCCTCTTGTTCAACAGAAACAATCAGCTGCAGTTGTAACAGGTAATTTCTTACTAGTAATTTTAATCATGAAGAACCGTCAATTTTAGAACTTTGGAATTGCATTACATGTACATATTCCATATGAGTGTATTTAGAGTGTAGATCTTAACGGTATGTGGAAACTGGACTACAGTATGGATGATCGTTTTGTTTTTACTGAATCGAGGAGTGTTATGTTCGGAGCTGTAAATTAGTTTTGCATGTCTGGGATCATTGAGGTAATAAAGTATTTTATTGGTAAACTTGTCATGTCGGTAGGAGGTTGACAATGATTCACCTGTTGTTTGATTGCATCATTGTGAATGTCTGGTGAAGATTTTGGAATCTTTTTCTTTTCTTTGTTTCTTCTTGTTCTCCGATGATTTGGTTCAGTATTTGGAGCTTCTTGTGCTTTCTTATAGGGAAGAGGGACATCAAAGTGAAGGCCCTGGAGGCTGCCGAAACTGCAAAGCGTCTTGCACAAAAGAAAGAGAATGAGCGCAAGATGAAGAAGGAAGCCTTGAAGCTTGAGCGGTCAAGAAAGGAGCAAGCGAATATGAGGCAGTTAGAGCTGCAAAAGAAACAGAAAGAAGAAGAGAGGAAGAAAAAAGATGCTGATATGGCAGCAAAGAAAAGACAAAGGGAAGAGGAAGATAGGAAGGAGAAGGAAAGAAAAAAAATGCGTGTTGAAGCACGGAGACAGCAGAGAGAACATGAAGACAAGTTACCAGCTGAAAAAGAAGATAAAGAAATGAAACGCCAGGCCATTGTATGATTCTTCATGCCATGTCACCTTTTATTAAATCTATCTTTTTGCTATATTAGAAATCACAATCAGTATTGGACTGTCTTATATAGGATGGAAGAGGACATGAGAGTAAGAAATCTAAGGATGAAACAGCGCATAAGACAATGGAGGAAGAAAGGGAATATGACACTTTCAGGAACATTTCAGAGACTGAGCCTAGGACTTCCAGGGTTTCAACAAGTAATGCCAGAAGAGAGAGTATTATCCATGAAGAACACAGTTTGGCCTTGAGTAATTTTGGATATAGCACAGTGGTAAATGCTAATGACTTCTTAAGAATTGATATTCACCTTATCTTAGGATCTATTGCATATTGTACAGCATAGGAGGCAATTAAACCCATTCCTCTCCTCTGAAATAACATGTATTCATATGTTGAGTGGTTTTACTTGCGTAGTTCATACTAGGGAGGCCTATGTGTAAGAAAAATTTCTGAGCTTTTACTGCAGGCTGGAGGGTAACTAACTACTAACAGCTTCATGAATGGCTGCATATTTCGTGTACATTTACTTTGTCTTTACAGCTTCATGCTGATACTTCATGTGATCTTTAAGGTACTGAGCAATGTAGACAAAGCAATAGACAATGGGAAGTCCGCTGCGAATACACATCAAGAACAGTCTTATGAAATCTCTCCATACAAAGAATCAGATGATGAAAACGAAGAAGATGACGATGTTATACCAAATACTAAATTTGTTCCATCATGGTCAAGGTAAGCTTTTCAAATTTTCTTTTTTTTTCGGTTTAGGTGAAATACAGTCTTCAAATTATTGAGCTCTGCAATCACCTAACTTATTAATTAGTTGTTTCTTGTTCTCTACAGTAAAAATTGCCTGGCTCTGGCAGTCTCTGGCCAGAGTGGAGCAGACCCAGGGGCGATCTTCCCCCCAGAAAGCTTTTGCAGTATATCTGAAGGTACTTTTATGGTGTAAAATCATTCTCTTAGTAGCTAGCTATGGCTTTGGCCTTTTGGCCTGCCAATTTTTAGGTATTGCTGGACTAAATATCCAAGTTATGCTCGTTTGTAGTTCTCTTGCCTCGGAAGCATCATCTAAACTACAATGGAATGCGTTAAACTCTATTCAATCTATTCTTTGCTCAACTAGTCGAAGAACTTTTGGTCAAGAAGAGGTAACAGTCGCACTCTGTCTGCATATTACCGTTGGAATTCATTAGGTTGAAAGTTTGGTTAAGCATTCCTTAAATTTACAAGATACATTGTTTTTTTTAATGTATTTATGTTTTGTTTGTGGCAGATTTTCAAAAGCCTATTTGAGCAGGTGATCCCTCCAAGCCAATTCGTAGCTGAAAAATGTAGAATTATTGTGATGTATAGGATTCTCTTGTAAGTGTTATTGAGCTAACATCATGGATATTTAGAACAGAGATTCTAACGCAAGATTAAAAAGCCAGACTATTTGTGCATTGTTATTTCTTTGGCACCATACTTTGGTCAACACTGATTTTGCAAAGATTTGTTCATCTTATTGCCAGCATTTGCTAATCTATTTTGTCGAAACAAATATCACATTGTCGTTAACTTATTTATTGACGTCTTCTGGTGGATGCTAGTAGTACGTTCCTATTAGATAATTTTGGCAAGCAACATAAGCTCATATTTCTTCTCATCCTGATGGAGATTTCAACTTCTCTTGTATAAGGAATGTTCCGAAAGCATAAGCCCATATCTGTCATACGATCTCAGAGTTGTTCAAAATTGAAATAGTTCAAATCCGATCTAATAAAAAAGTCATGCAAGCTCAAAATTGAAATAGTTCAAATTGGACCAAAGAAGTCATACTTACATGGACTTATAGCTGAAGTTGTTAGGGTATTTACATTTCCATCCAATATTCTAGGATCGATTTTCCTTTCCCAATGTGACTTGTATAAAAAAAATTATTAAAAAATAAAACAAACACACAAACTGTCATTAATGCGCATTCATTGGATAACAGACAAAAAAATAAAATAGAAACTCTCTCTCTCTCTTTTGTCTGTTTGTTTTCGGTTTTGTTCTTTTGGTTGGATTTGTTTCCTCTGTCTATTGTACTTCCTTTTCTAGGAAGCAACGAGGCTCCTTCTTACCTCTTCTCACCTTCAAGTCCAGGTCTCTGTTTCTCCAACGCCCACTCTGATTCGAATCAAAATCCCTCACAACAAGTAAGATTACATCGAATCTGGTAATGTCTTTATTATGCTTTTTCTCTGTCCGTCTACAATTGGAATTGGTATGAACTAGAACTAGTAAATTAAAATTGAAGGAATTTATGATTATTGTCGTTGACACCTCTAAACCCTTGCAGCGCTAAAATCAAATCTGGGTTCACTGAAAAATTCTAATATATATATATATATATATATATAGTTACCTGTATCTGCTCAGTGTCAGCATGCTAAGCTGACATGACCATGTGTTGTAAGAAATTAATGTATTATCTGCTTTTAAATTTTAATGATGATTTTGGTTTTAGGTGTACACTACTTCTAATTAGGCTATATGATCATGTAACTGGATGGATATGTGTATTCATTAGGTAATTTAAAATTAAAAATGTTTACCAAGAGCTAGAAGTGCTTCTGACAGCTTTTGGCAGAAAAGCTTAAAACAGAAGCAGTCCCAAATGGGCACTAAACCATGTGCTTAGTGGCTATGCGTACGTTCATACTAATATCAATATGTCTGGTATTGGCAGTAAAGTAATGGCATCTCCTGACTCGTGGATGCGAGAATTCAATGATGCTTCAAAGCTTGCTGATGAAATCAATGGTATGATTTCTGGAAGGAGTTCATTGCCACCCTCTGGACCTGAAACACAACGTCATATGTCTGCAACTCGAAGAAAGGTTACAATACTAAGGACAAAGCTTGAGACTTTGCAGTCACTCTTGTCTAAACTTCCTAACAAGCAGTCAATGTGAGTATTCTCGTAGAGTTCAATTCCTATTCTTAACTCATGACCAATATTTAGCTTGAATTTCCTTTTGTATCCCCCGGAACTTGTTAGTGGTTTTACTCCAAACCTCATTTCGTAGGAACCTAAAGGTTGTTCGATTTTATCATATTCCATCCATTTTCTTATCAGAAAAAATGAAATACTAATATAAGGTATCAATTAAACCTTCCCCATCATGGAATGTGAAATGTGCAATATAAGTTAATATTACTTCAAGGATGACGTTGGAACTAATAAAAAAAGAATGTGAGAAGTTCTTTGATATGTTTTAGTAGTAGTCAATTGGAACAATGAACTACTGTCGAAAACTAGTTGATCCAGGTTGTAGAGGGAAAAGGAAGGAGACCAAATATAATGACAGAAGAAAGATTTAATATTTTATTTAGAATGTTTGTTATTTTGTGCATATTATCTCCTTAATCAAATATCTGTTGATTCGTTCTATGTTTTTAACAACTAAACATTAATTCACTTAAGTTTATCTAGTAAAATCTTTTGTAATAGATAGATGGTCGGCTCATAATTACTTAAATAAGATTGGAATAGATTGATGGATTTTTTTTTCTTGTTCATGAAAGTAGTTCTAATCATACAAAAATGGATTTTTTTTTTTGTTCTGATCTGAATTCTAAAAAAAACATTTGTATAATGGGATATCAATTAATGAATGGTGATCTGATTGTGTTCATTGTAGCATATGTTTGTGTATATTTGATTGCATTTATGAATATACAATGGTTTTAAGTTTGAAAACTCAGAGAACAAATATATGTATAAAAAAAATTATATATGATAGATAATGTTTTCTACTGAGACAGTCTGAAGGATTCCTGGTCTACTGTTGCTGTAATCTTTTTTCTTTGGGTTCAAAATTGCTTATTCACTTGTACAATTTACTAATGTCTATAAACCCTAACTTCTGCTCTGCATTGCTGATGAGTCTGTATGATGTGCCCCTATAGTGGTGCGTTGTAATGTAGTGTTTCTCCTGAATTGTGTCAAAACGCATGTTTAGGTATCGAATATCGAAGTCATGGGATTAGGATTGCTTTTTTGGAAATCTGAGAGGATTTTCGTTAAGATGTTTACTAAAGTCAAATGAGTAGCATGTAATGGTAGCAACTACTTTTGTGCAAGCAAAAAAGTTTTTCTGTTCATATGGTACTTTATTTTAGCTGGGTTTCACTCTTTGTACAAATTATAATTGCTGCTGTGATAAACAGAACAGGGAAAGAAATAAATCGTCGTAAAGATATGCTCAAAAATTTGAGTTCTAAAGCTGATCAAATGGCTATTGCTCTCAACATGTCGAGCCTTGCTAATAGACAGAACTTGCTTGGCCCTGATAAGAAGATGGATGATATAATGAGCAGAACGGCTGATTTAGACAACCATGGTCTTGTTAGCTTTCAACGGCAAATCATGAAGGGCATGTGATTGTAAATTAAATGGTTTTTACTTTCTGTAATAGTTGATTTAGTCTGCGACTAATGGTAATGTGTTTTACATTCCTAGCAGAACAAGATGAAGGACTTGAAAAATTGGAGGAGACAGTTATTAGTACAAAACACATTGCGTTGGCAGTAAATGAAGAACTTGATCTGCACACTATGCTTCTGGTTGAGTCTTTTGCTGATTCTCCAATTTACTTTATTATGGTGTCTTTTATGTCCGACCAGAGTTGCGATGAAGACTTCTGCAGTTTTTTTAACTTGTCTTTCTTAAACAATATGCAGGATAATCTGGACCAGCATGTGGACTCAACAAATTCCAACCTACAGGTTATCATTACCATATTATTGCTTGCTTTCCTAGCTAGAATTTCATGGGACAGCACCAACATTCGCATAGACATATAGTTTTGAATAAACTGACCTCTTTCTGGCATACATAGTACCCACCTTAATGATCAGATAGTCAAAGAGAAAGAGAATATAAATCTCAACACTTTTTCGAACAACAAACCCTAATCAAAATCTGTGTATTTTGGTATCGTTTCACCCGATTCGATTTGTTAAACTCCTCCACTTTTATATTTAATTAAATTTAAACTCACATTGACATTGTTCTTGAAACAGCGGGTGCAAAAGAAATTGGCTGTGCTGAACAAACGCACCAAAGGCGGTTGTTCTTCTTTGATCCTACTGGTTCTTGCGGTTGTGATTTTAACAATTGTTACCTGGGCATTGATTAAGTACTTGTAACATTACATTATCAATGATCAACTTGCTAATGTTGGAACTAGAAGTGATATACTAAGTTGCAAAAGCATGTGTCAACAAGCTCCTCCTGCCTTTGGTTTAAAACTTGTAAAAAGTAAAATGCATAAATGCACAGGGATTGAGAGATTATCAAAGACGTCCACAGTACATCTTGGATTTGCTCTGTTTGATTGATTACCTAGCGTGGGCTGCAAGTTTCATTGAGAGGTAGAATTACTATTTGAAAATGAGATATATATTTGTTGCAGTCTAGCAATTAACTTGCTTAAGCTCCAAGCTTTCTGAAAACCATTGCTGGTATTTGGAGATCATGGCTTGATGTACCGAGGACCAAAAATGCACGGATAAATGCTCTTAATTACTTGAGCTACAACCCATTTACTGCTCTTAATTACTTGAGCTACAACGCCTTTACTGTTGTTTCTTCTGGATCCTTTACTGGCACGTACTTGATTTATTTCATGATTGACAATTAATAAATGCATTTACGCTTGAAATTGTCAAAGCTGGTTTCTTTTCCTTTCTTTTCTCTTTTTTGTTTGGCTTTGTTTATCAATTTATTAATAAAAGAAAATAATGAAGCAAAATAAATTTAAAAGAAAATATGTCAAAATATATGATTTTATTTGTGGTCATCAGCCGACCCTCAAACAAAAAAAAAAAAAAAAAAAAAAAAAAAATAGCACCAACATTTCAAACTATGAACATGAAGCTTAATCATCAGCAGAAAATAAACATGTAGCGCACATAGGAGGTTTTCTTTGACAACCATACATTGTGTTGGGTTTTTATTTGTGAGTGCTTCTATAGTGAGTGAAAAGTTATAAGTGGTGTTTTTGAGGGGTATGTAAGAGCCGTCGGATAAAATCCAACGGTGAGTTTTTAAAAGAGGGTGCATGTAGAACCGAGTTGAAATCTGACCCGTTGGAAACCCAACTTCAGTTGAAGATCTTTCCCTCTCTGTGAAAAACTCAACAACACAATCCTCTCTTTTTGAATGTAATGCAAACCCGCAATTAGAAAGATCCAAAGCTCCCAAACCCTATAGTTGCTCCATTGTCATCAGCTCCTTGGGATGCCTGCAATCTATGGTATCCTCGGTATGACGATTAATGACTCTTACCTAGCTATTGCCCTGTTTTGATTCTATGGCTCAAGTGAAAACCCCTTCTCTTTTTCATTTAGCAGACGAGATTCCAGATGAAAGCAAAGTAGCATATATCTTTCTGTAGCTAGACGCTGTAGTAACAGTTGTTCCTTGATTTTGGTAGAGATGGAGTCTCCACTACCAAAGAGTCTTCTCTAATG